TGTGCCGAAGGCTGTATTTTCTACTCAGCCTTAGATCATGCCACTTGGAGCGAGGAGGAAGAAGCGTCATGCTTAGCCTCGATCAACTCGCCAACCCGCCTACTGAACCCTGAAGTCTAGGGTTCTGACGAGTAAGAAACTCGATCCTCATTCTGCACCCTATTTTCAGTCTTTCTGTACTCTTTACATTCAGCTTTCGTGAGCTGATATTCACATGATTGCGCCTGATCTGATTTACTGATCTTTTCGAAATCTGGCTCAACAGACTTTGCCTCCCATGTCTGAATTGGACTATTTAACAGGGCTATCCTTGTGACAGGACTTCCTTGAGCAGTGGCATAATTACTGCAATGGTAGACTACTGGCAACATGGAGCTTGGCTGGACATTGCGCTTATGTTCTGGCCAACTCGATGCTTTAACCATTGTCACATTTTTCTGCAATCGTTGCTGGGGTCGTTGCTGTAGTCTATGCGAGTTGCTGACGGGATGACGCATGCTTTGAAAGTAAACCTCTTTGCGATACATTGAGTGACGAGTTTTGTAAAGCGCTATGTCGATGTAGTTGAAATTTTCCGAGTTACTCAAGCAGCAGGCTGTAAAAAGTACATCTTGCATCTTTCGTGGTAACAGAACGCTTATGATCATTACTAATAGTATCAAAGATAGGCCAAAGATCATTAGGCTCAACGGCCATCGGTAAGCGTGTGCAGAATCTTTTGCATGTTCCCCGACCAAATTAAATCGGAGCGTTGTTATATCTCGGTGAGCCATGGCTGCCATATCATGTGCGGTGTTGTTGCTCTCGCTATAGACCACCGTGCCCACACAGCCTCTGCCAAAACTGTTATTATAATTTGACTCCTGTTTATTTACAAAAAGAGTTTCGTTTGTCACCAGGACAACTGAAGACTGGTTAGCCAGTATTATTGCTGACGGATCTGCGGTGCTTGGAAGGATCATCGCATTTGAGATTGACTGAACTAGATGCTGGTAGCCAATAATCAGAAGCTACATCACTACAGACAACGGAATTCTGAGAAAAATTGTTTTTTGTCAAAAATAAGAAAAATTAGAGCAGAATCAGCTAAACCTGAAGATTTATTAAATTAAAACAAAATATTGCATACAAAGTAATTAAAATTTGGCTCAAAGAAATGGTGATAAAAACAAGACTAAAATAAAACTGGAAAAAGTTTAAAAAAACTTCCATTTTTGTACACATCCGCTGGGTATGGACTGTTGATAAAAATAATGTTGTTCTGACAAGCTATTGGTCGAAATGTGCCAGTCATGAGGAGGCGAGAATTGAACCAATCCAGCTTTTTATGCAACTTGATCGTGAATTCATGTGCTAGAGATTAGACTAGGAGTTACAGTTATAGGCTTCAGAGGTGTGGTCGGTTCTCTTATATCTACTCTTGCAATAATAAGAAGAACCGTCGAGTTGCCAACATGAGGATGCTTTTTATTCCCAGCCAATATTTGGAACTCATATTTTCCCTGTGTAGCTAATATGCCTGCCGATAGGCCGTGTTTTTTGTAGCCTAGTTTTGCTTGCAAATTAGCATCACTTCAGCTCTACCAGGGAGTTTATAATTTAAATTTCAAAAGTAAATTTTTACCCAAATACTACCAGGCAAAATGATAAGCAGATAATGTTATGAGGGTTCTTTTCTATTTTTGAATCAATTCCTTTCCTCAGTAAAACATTAATAAAAAGCACCCATAAATGTATTAGTCTTTGCCAAACTGCATTACAATTCATCAAATATGTGATGCCAATAGCCTAATATTTTTT